AGCTCATGAGATACAAGATGTTGACAAATTATATGAGTCGCAACGAGGTGATAATTTTAAAAAATATATTAGAATTTTCTTAAACTTACACTACAAATGCAATCTTTGAAAACAAGTAATAATGATGATATATATAAAACCACCATAGACATATGGAGGTCATGGATGGTAACGGGAAGTTTTCAAAAATTTCTGATTAACAACCTCTCAGGAAGAATACAATAAACATATTAGAAAAAAGTATCATATAGGCCATCAAACTTTAGATTGTGGGTACGAGTAGAGGCCATCAAACTTTAGATTGTGGGTACGAGTAGAGGCATGGGTGTGTCTATATCCGTGCCTACCAGGCAAAGCTAGCGTAGAACAATGAGCACAATATAAACTGAGTCCTCTACACAGCAAAACTTTTTCTCCCATCCACTTAGTATATCTTTAATTTGTTAAGAACAATAAGTGTAAGTAATAGCTCTCAGGGAATAGGATGTATAACAACTTTCCCAGTGGCACGGCCAGTTTCAAGGTAAGAAAATGCTTCTGCAACCTTGTCAAATGGAAATGGACCCTTGGGGTCTATCACTGGCTTCACCTTCCCACTTTCTAGGAAAGGGTTGAGTTTCTTCAACACTTCTCCGTTGGATGTGACTACGAACCTGAAACCGGGGGGCGTGACTGCACCGGTTAGCACCACCACGCTCCCGCCTTCCTTCACCACCTTAACTGCCTTCTCTCCCTGCCCTGCATTTTCAAGTTCATACAAAAAAGGCGTTGGTTCGAGTGGAAAGAGCTTGAATCGTTTAAGCATGAGATCAGGAGTTCAAACTCGTGTTTATGCAGAAACCAAACATCATTAATAAAGACATGTTGCACTCTCATCCCTATCGGGTTGTTTGGTAGAGTGTAATTGCATTTCGTTTTCAACATAACTCTTTGGCCTGACATGCTAAATTACAATGTTTGGTTGGAAGGAATTGCAATCCCTTTATTTTATTTTATTATTTTTTTTTTTTGTGGAATTGGTATTCCTGTACCCCTAAGAATTCTATTTCAGCTGCGAATAGAGAAAAAAAAAATGTATTGTCCAAACAATTTCCCATCTACCAATACACAAGCCCTTATTATTACACAATGGGCATTTAAGTCTTTATATCACTTATTCCCTTTCAATTCCCAATAATCTTATTCATGCCTACCCAAACAATGTAATTTGAATTCCTACTTTACTCCTACTTTGTTCTTTTCCCCGCCTAATTACTATTCCTTTCTTCCCTAATTCCTTCATTCCAACCAAAACGCCCGGTAAGAGAGGTCGGGAGTTTAAAACCCTCTCTTGTATGAAAAAATTAATATGACAAGCACTTTGCCCCTTAAATTGGGCCGACCCGGTGCATACATGAATTAGTATGGTAAGTTGCATCTTATAGTTAATGCCTACTCAGAACACTTCGTGGTCTACAACCAAAAAAACATCTTATAGTTAAAGTTGCAGCTCTAACACGGTAACACCAGTTATAGTATTCAAGGAACATCATGTGATGATGCAAAGAGGCAAGACAAGTTCATTGTATAGTTCATTGTGAAGTGAAAAGAAACATACCGACTGTATCATAGACCACATCAAACTTGTCTGGTATGTCTTCAAAGTTGTCCTTTGTGTAGTCAATAGCCAAATCAGCGCCTAAGCTTTTCAACAACTCCAACTTGCCAGTGCTGGATGTAGCTGCAACTTTTGAAGCACCAAATACATGCTTTGCGAGCTGCCTCAGTACAAATTTATGAGGCATGTTAATAGTTATAGTTTGTTAGGATCGATCATTACCACTACACCAAAAGCTATAGCTAGTAAAGAAGGCGTAATAATTCCCCAACCACTAGATGTTAGACTTGGACTTGGCCTCTACCTGCCTCCACCCAAGAATTCCCTTCCCAACTCCCAACACCAACGCTATAGCTAGTAGCGAAGGTGCAACAATCCCCCAACCACCCAACAATTCCCCCCTCCCAGCACCAATGCTATGGCTAGTAGCGAAGGTGCAACAATCCCTTGGGTGCTAGACTTGGACTTGGCCTCTATCCACCTTCTTCACCCAACAATTCCTTCCTCCCAGCTCCCAGCACCCACGTTATAACTAGTAGCAAAGGTGCAACAATCCCCCAACCACCCAACAATTCCCCCCTCCCAGCACCAATGCTATAGCTAGTAGCAAAGACACAACAATCCCCTAAGTGTTAGACTTGGCCTCTGCCCAACAATTCCTGATACTAGTTGTTAGAATCAAACATTTACCACTATGTCAAAAGTTATAGCTAGTAGCAAAGGCACAATTCGATTTCTTTATACAACAACACATTTGTTGGACTTGACCCTATAAACCTTGACCGATCTCCGCCCAAAAATCCCCAATCGCCGAATGCTAGACTGACTTTTACCAGCCTTCGCCCAACATAGTTTAATATTATAACTGAACAATAAAAATGTGGTTTTGAAAGTGCTACAATATTGTTATACCTGAATGACGAGAGATCCAACTCCTCCTGCACCACCCAAGACGAGGATGGATTTTCCAGAAGAAAATTCTGCCCTTTCAAGACCTTCGTAGGCGGTCTCTATGGCAAGAGGAAGAGCAGCAGCCTGTTCAAAACTAAGATTCTTTGGCTTCAAAGCCAGCAGTTTCTCCTCAACTGCAGTGTACTGACCTAATGAACCAAACTGCTTGGGTCCTTCCAATGCTTTCTCATTTATGTTTCCATAAACTTCGTCACCTAGTCTTAGGCCTTTTACTTGACTACCAACTTGGATTACTACACCAGCAACATCATAGCCCGGTACAGTCTAAAGAAAAATTTAAAAAAAAAACAAGTAATCAAGATTTACAAAATGGTGATTTTATTTTTCTTTTCAAGCATATGACAATGTCTACCAGTGTTGTAAAAATCAGCCTAGGCAGCTATCGAGGCGCTGATTAAGTGCTAGGCGCCCCTAGGCAAGAGAATTTTACTCTTAGGCGAATATTAATCAGCTAGTTGACTAGGCGGCTAACTTGGCCCCCGAGTCAGCCAACACAGCTGCTGAGTTTTTTTTTTTTTTTTTTCCCCTTTTTTGCGCATTGTGTACACTATTGTGTTTTTCTTATTATTTCACTCACCCGCCTAGGCGCCAATTAGGTACTAGGCACCCCTTGAGCCTTGGCTGAGGGGATTTACCTATTAGGCAGATATAAGTCAGCCAACCAACTAAGTGGTTAATTCGGTGGCAGAATCGACCAACTCGCACTGACCGAATGTTTTTTTTATTAGCAAAGTGTGCACTGATGTGTTTTTCTTATATTATTACTCATCTAGGGCAACGCGCGCCCGGTGGCTTCTACAACATTGATGCCTACAAAGTTCATCATATCCTCTTGTAGTTAAAGAACTTCAAATAATAGTGGCCTCAAATAAACCGCATTTCAGAAACAAAGGCAACAAGGCGGAAACAAGAGAGACTTACAGGAAGAGGCGAATCAGTGGCCTTGAACTTGCCCTGTCTGCGCTTGAAATCAACAGGATTGAGAGCCGCAGCAGCAACTTTGATCAACACCTGATCATCTTGTATCTGAGGCACTGCAACACTGGGTTCCACCTTCAAAACATCAACACCTCCATACTCTCCATAAGTCCAAGCATTCATCTCAAAGGGAAAGAATAATGTGGCTGTAGAGGCCTCAGCTGATGCAGCCTGGGAACTCGCCAAGACTCTGAAAGATAACTGAGTCCTCTGAACCCAAGAATCTGCAGCTTTTCTGCTCCTGCAGTGAAGTTTGAACACAGCAGAAAGACAGGATGGAGAGTGGGGAGGGTGAAGGGTTCTTCTCACTGGAAGAGTTGTGGAGGAGAGCAGTGCTTCCATGATTTTTTACTTTGCTTTTCTGCTTCTCTTCTCAGCTCTTCTGTGTTATGGCAGACTGTGATTGCTTGTCCTGGGTCTTCCCTGTTCTCTCAGCCATCCATTTGTAGTATTACCAGTAATAATCTAGAATATTCATGGGGTCCCCATTCTATCTCCTGGGTTCACAGTGAGAAAAGTGAATAGCCACAAACCAAACCCAACTCTTCTTGGCCACCAAAGACAGTTTTTGTCAGCTTCCACTGGAAAAATTATTAAGAAAAAAAGAAAAGCACGTAGAGATTAAGGGTACATTTAATAACTTGGAAAGTCATTTTTCATATTTCTCCGTGTTTTGGTTGTTCAAAGAAAATAAAGTTCTTTTTAGATCAAGGAGGGGGACCCCAATATGAAAAGACGCTAGGCCCTACTAGTTATGTGTCGTGATAGATAAATGTCCACGACATCATCCTCAAGAATTGGCAAGAGGCTCGGGGGAAGTACCCCTAACTCAATTTAGTTGTCTCTCTAACTAAAAGGAAAATAAAGTTAAAAGAAAAATTTTCATTGTAATAAATGGAAAAATTACTAAATTTGTCAAAAAAAATGTATTCTCAAATTTTTGGCGGAAGACGTTTTTCGAATTCTTTATTTTTCCGTTTCTCTTCTCTTTCATCTTTTCGGACTATTATTACCACCGTCACCGCAACTAATTATTATTATTATAATTATATTATATAACAAATACGGAGTAATATATCAATTTTCAGAAAAAATGAACATTTCTTAACTTTCAGTTAAAAAATATAATAATTTAACTTTTAGCCCAAAACTTAAAAATTAAAATATTTTCAAAAAAATGAGTCATTTTCTAAAAATTATTTTTCAAAAAAAAAAAAAACATAAAAACATTTTAAAAGTTTTCAAACCGACACTAAAAAAAACAACAAAAAAGTAACCTCCCAAACCATCTGACCACATATACTATTGTAAGGGCAAACTAGAATGGCTTAGTAGTTAGAACTTTAAAAATTCCTAATGGGCACAAAACATAGTGAACAATTTATTTTTTTAATAATTAACTTGAAATTTTGGTGCCAATGGACTTGCCATTCACCTAACCAATACCTACTAAGAAGTAAGAACAATCCTGTGCATTTGTATACTATATTCATCATTTTACATGAAACATTGGAATCAAGAAAAATGGACAGTAAATGAAGAGAATGGAAGGCTAACCATATGGACTAACATACTACTCTTTTAATTTATGCAACAATGCATAATATTACACAGCGAAAGTCCATATGAAGGTGTGATAAATATTACATTTTCATCACCCTAAAATGACATGTTGATGTTCCTTAGTCATAAACATCTATTCTGTATACAATGATTAATGGAAACCGGGAACACTTGACGGGCTCATTCAAAGAATGAGTTTCAACTTTTGAGTCCACAAGGACAAGAATCACTTAGCAGGCACAGTCAAATAATGAATTTAATCTTTGCCGTACCATGAAGACAACTATCACTTGGCAGGACCGGTGAAAGAGTGCCTCCTATTACGACGGTTCCTTGTTTTCCTTCTCTTCAAGGCCCATCTTTCTTTTATATTGCATAAACTATCGGTTTGTGATTCACCAGAACTTTCTCCAGATAACCCCAGACTTCTCAAATCCTCAGTGCTGGATGATCTTCTGATTCGAGCAGTTTCAGCTTGCAAGTCGTTTATAATCATCTCAGTGGTCTTTGTGGTGATTCCTCTAACGTACCAGGAAATGGGCGGGGGAGGAACAAGAGCCGGCTGTATTAGTTGCTCCAAGCTCACCTTTGATCCAATCCTCCCTTTCCCCTTTGTGTACGAAACATAATCTGCCAAATTATTAGGTCTGTATGGATGGCATAGTTCTTCATCGACAAGAAGGGGTTCAACTCTCCAGCAACCTTCGAATCTTTTCATAAATCCAGTTTTCACTTGCTTGAAATTCATCTAACAGAAAAGGAAAATAAAATGAATGATAAGTTCCAAAACTGTTCACATAATATCATTGTTTATAGTTGTTATAATCTAAGGTTGGGTCAAGGTCACTCAACGACTGAATCCCCCCACAACCGGGCGAAGGTCACTTAACTGGCTATAATGCACATGGGCCAAACCACACTACAAGACTGTATCCAATCAATTAGCTAGTCTAACACATATGTTGGGACTCTTAACAATAGTAAACTAAATTTATTTAACATGTCATTGGATAAAATGAACTCATCTACTCAATTTGGCCAAATTAAAAGAGTACCGAGTGATCTTCTCTGTTCTGGTCCACTAAGACATGCACTGATATTGTTCCAGACCACCAAAGGAATTTCCACATGGCAGCTTGTTCCAGTTCCACAACCTGCCTCGGGCCTTCATCAAGCAATACCTTCCTTGATATTACTTTCTGATGGATATATCAACCTTATGTCAGTTGAATGAACGAATACTACGTAAAGAAATTGCCAAAGAAAATTATTTTAAAAAAGTTTCATAATTAAAACTATCACTACTCGTCATAGGAGTGGTACTTCTTTGGAGCCTGTAAAAATATATTACCTGAATATTCTTGAAAACTCTCTTATTTTCAGGGTCAGTTACAATATTGTAAACGGCATCTGGTGGCAATCCAACATTGACTTTCGCATTCAGGTTGCACAGAGAACCTTTAGGTACAGTCACCTGCATAAATCATTCAACAGATAAAAGGATTAGTAAATAATGAAGACAAGAAGAATATAAGCTAAGGGTTTCAATTAAAAAGAAAAAAAAAAGAACTGTTTTTGGTTTCCATTATATAAATTATAAAAAGAAAAATGGAAACCAAAAAAATTTCCAGCTTAACAAAAGAATTTGGTTCATGGAAAATGTTTTCCAAAGGAAAACATTTTCCTTAAAGTGAAGGAAAATGTTGTTTTCTAGTGATTGGTTCATGGAATTCATTTTCCATTGGAAAATGAATTCCTCAAATTTGAGGAAAACAAAATCCTTGGTTGGACCAAGGATTTTGTTTTCCATGGAAGATGGGAAGAAAAAGTGAATAGATTGCCTATTTTACCCTTGCTTTCTTTTTTAATTATATTACTTTTATTAATTTGTAGGGGCATATAGGTCTTTATACTCATTATTCCTTACAATTCCAAATCTAACCAAACAATAGAATTAGTATTCCCAGTAATTCTTTTTCCACCAACCAAACAATAAAATTCATCTTCCTAGTAATTGTTTTTCCATGGAATTCCAATTCCACTTCCCTTAAAATATTTTCCGCGAACCAAACGAGCCCTAAAACTGTTCAGTAAATGGAAAATTCTCCAGGCCCCTGAAAAATTGGAGGTTTCCAACTGAACAGCAGAATTTGGGGGCACCCATAATTGGTTAGATTTTGGTGCCAACTTTTGGTATTTCTATGCCATCTTGGTGTTTCTGTTGCTGAGTTCCGGCAGAAGAGAGCTTAAGTCATATTTTCTATGATGGGCTTACAGTGAAGGCTGTTTGGAGGACAGTTTTACTTTCCTTGGGACTTCATTTTCACCATCATGGACTGCATGTTTTACTCTAGTACTGATGATTTCTTAAAGGGGATAATCAAGTCCAAGGATTTATTTTAGTCCGCTTATAATATGGGAACTATGGATTCACAATTCTCACTACAGGCATTTAGGTGAGTTTCCTAGTGTTTACAGAACTTGCTTCCGGGTTTCAAAGGACTAATTTGATTGTCTTCACGTAAGTGGGTGGGCCAGTTTGAACTCCCTCCTAGGTGGGATATCATCAGCCACTTCGTGGTCACCTTCGTGCCGAAAAGGGTGGTGCAAAGGGTGCAGTGGGCTAAACTGCCTAAGGATTTCGTCAAAGTCAATATTGCACATTTTGTCCTCAAAGATGGTACGTGGTTTTGCGGCTATTATTCGTAATGCTAATGGTGGGTTTCTTTTTGGATTTGCTTTCTCTGATTTGCAGGCTCCCATGCTTGCTGGTTTGGCCAGGGTCCTTATAGGTTGCTTGGAGTGGTGTATTTTGGAGCATTGGCTTAATATCCCAATTGAATCCCACATCCCTCGAGTGGTTTTGCTTCTTGATGGTTCTTTTCTACTTTCTGATACCTTTCTTTCTAGGATTTTGTTTTGTGCTCTTGTGCTTCTATGTGTTTACATCCTCGTCATTGCAGAGCTAATGATCACTTGCTCCTTGCCAACTGGATCCAAGGGAAAGATATAGCCTTCCAATCTCATCTTGTACTTGAGCTCCCTCCGCGGGTTTTGGCTCTTCTGCATGCAAAAGACCTTCCCTCATTTGTGTTTTTTCCTACTAATGAACTGTGATTTTGGTATTGGGCTTTTGGCCCTTGTGGGGGTGTGGTGTGCCTATGTGCTAGTTTTATCACGTGAATACCGCGGTTAAGTGGTACCCTATCCCGAAGGAACTGGCTTCCGGTAAAGGCTTCTCAAATTTGTTTTTGGCTATCCATTTCCCAAAAATGGAATCCCTTGAGTCACTCGGGCTCTAACGTTGGTGTCAACAGTTAAGTGGCACCCTAATCCGGAAAAAATGACTACTGGTAAAGGCATCTCAAATCCGTTTATGGCTAACTATTTGCCAAAAACGGAAAGGGTTTTTCCAACGTCAACACCAGCAATTAAGTGGCGTCCTAGTCCAATGCTAACGGCCATCTGTAAAGGCAAATCAAGTCCGTTTATAGCAACCCATTTTCTCAAAATGGGGTTGCGCCTTTGTGGCAATGGAAGTTCCATTCGCTGTTGGGCATTTTGTTGAGGAGTGGTTCTGTTTTGATTTATTCTTTTCTAAATGTTCATAGGCTATGTAAGTCTGGAAATGGTCAGCTAATTGAATGAAAGTGTAATGAACTAAAATAATGAACAAGAAGATGATGCAAGGACAGAATTAGACGACACCAATGAAGCTTATATCGCAAACGCTAATAAGAAACAATACTTTTCAACACTTAAATCGCAAACACCAGATAGAAAACTCGGATTAATTTCACCTTTATTTCCGGAGGATGATCGGTCCATGTAGGATTCTCTTTCCAAGGTTGCATTTGCTTCTCCAGATCAACATCTAAGATACCAAATGCTCCTTTCTTTCCCACAAACGATGACATTAACACATCTCCATCCCTTCTCATTCTTTTAAAATTTGACTGTAATAGCAAGGGGAAGTCTGTAACGAATACAAGGAATACGGGATTACATATCAAACACACACTTTTATCGAGTGATGGCAATTGGCAAACCTTGAGAGCCTTTTCGATTTTTGACTGGAAATCCGATAAAAAGGGATGCATAACTGAACTCGACAATCTTGCACGTTCACTGCTCTCGTCCACTGGAATTTCATTGTTCTGCTTATCTAATTTCATCTCGCCTGCTACAAGCCTACATTAATCGCAAAATCCAACAGGTGGCTAATCATACCACCCACAGAAAAGGTGAGAATAGAATAATAAAATGGAGAATTAATATAAAACTAGGAAAACTTATATCATTGTTCTGATCAATACAATGAAAAGCTTGTATCTATAGGCTTATTATGATAATAACTAAATCTAAGAATATAGTGAAAATCTCAACAAGCCAAATTCTATGTCATAAAAATTATGCATTTACATCGTATTCAGCTAACCAGCTTACATTCAATAACTTCAACAGAAAAATCGACAAAAGTTCATCACAATTGGAATTACAATTTGTTTACCAAGTCTCCTAATTTCTAAAATTGCAAAGACAATTGTCTTGATTTCACCCAATCAACATGAAGTAAGTGCTTCCACAAAAACCTTATCCTTTACAAGCATCCATCCTTGATTTTCTAATCTACATATATGTTATCAATAATCAAATATTCATTAAAAAAATGCCTCTTTTTTCTCCTGAACCACAATTACAAGACAAATTCCCATGACAATCCTTAAAAGTTCAATTACACTTTCTATGGACCCTAATCTAGAACCACCTAGAACACTGAGAAATATTAAGATTCAGCATCAAATTATCGGCAAACATGAAACACAAAAGAAGAGTATTTATTTATTCATAATGGTCGAATCTGGGAATGGAACAGAAAAAGATTCACTTACAGCAGAATGATTCAGAGGATATTCTGATTAGAAAAAAAACAACTCAATCCTTGAAGATCATTAAGCTCCAAAACGACCAATAAATCAACATTTCACTTTTCAAGATCTCCTTATCTGTTCTTGCTTCTTTTATTGCATCGTTGAATGTTGAGTGTCCTCTTCCTCCTCTTCTTCTTCTTTCGACTGCACGATAAGTTCAATTATAAATACACTTATGGCACGTGGGCTGCGTGTTTATATTGCCATCTGCTTAGCACACAAAATTCTGGTATTTTATCTATTGAAAAAAGTTGTCTTTGGCCCTTCAATTCTTTTTTAATACTACTGATTCTATTACATTGAAGTACGCATTTATTGAGGTTCAATCTTATGACTTTCCATATGAAAGAGGTCACTACCTAGAGCACAAGGTGTTTGTCGGCTCTTCAATTATTAGTTCTTAGTTTTTAATTTTAACTAATTTTTTTTTGAATGCTAATTTTAACTAATTTGATTTTCGAATTATTTAAAATTTTAATAACTATTTTGGTCCCTCAACTGTTAGTATAGTTTTTAATTTTCAATTTTAACAAATTTGATCATCGAATTGTTTAAAATTTCGATCAATTAAACTATTCAATTGATGAAATTTTAAAAATTAAGAAATTACTATTTTAGTCCTCTAATGGATTTAATTAACTTTAAACAATTCGTAAATCAAATTAGTTGAAATTGAAAACTAAAGACTACATTAAAAATTGGGGAGCAATTGAAAGATCAAAATAGTGATTTTTCCTTTATCTATTTCATTGTTTCAGTTAGCAATTGGATTATTTTACCCTATAATATTGTCCTTTAAATGGATAAAGAATGGAATGTACTTATATATATATATATATATATATATATATATATATATATATATATATGTATGTATGTATGTATGTATGTATGTATGTATGTATGTATGTATAGCCACACAACACACATATGTAGTTACGATATATATAATTTTAGAAGTATTCTTGTCATTGTATGTCATACTTATGAAATGCATATTTAAATAACATGTTTTATTGTAAAATATTGAATACTACTTTGAGTTGGGGATTAATATATATGCGTTATTTATTTAAATATTTTTAATGTTTAATTTTTATTTTTTTTATAACTTATTAACGGGGTGGGGATTCCCCGTCCCCGAATAATCCCCGTGGGGATGGGGATGAGGGAGTTTTTCCTTCCCCAGCGGAGATGGGGACGCAGACACGGAATGGGAAAAACGTCGGGGGTGGGGATGGGGGGTATGTCCCCCGCCCCCACCCCGCCCCGTTGACATCCCTACACCTAAGTGCAAGTAAAATGTATTACAAGTGCATGTAAAATGTATCATAGGTGCAAGTAAAATTTAGACTAAGCATCAATACTAAGTGCACATGACGTTATAACTAGGTGCACCTATAGTTATAAGTAGTTGCACCTAGGTGCATGAATGTTTGCGGGTGGTTTTCACGGGTACTAACTACCCACTGAACTCCCCGCAAGAACAAGGCAAAATTACATGCACTTGTAGGTGAAAGTAGGTGCACTTGTAAGTAATTTTACCTGCACTTTTTACTTGCAAAGGTGCACTAACTACGTGCACATATAACACATTTACTTGCACCAAAGTTTGAGTTATTTACAAAAATGTCACCACGTCATTTTTAAAAATTACATATGATTCGTTGATCTGGACACTTGGACTGATGGCATTCATTCGCATTTCTCCCCTCGGCACCTATTCGCACCTGAACGCGACGACCCTATATATATATATAGGTGCGGTTCTGGTTCGGTTGGCACTGTTAGGTGCGGATGTGCGGTTCTATAGCTGTCGTTGGTTTTTAGTGCATTAAAATATCTTCACCGTTGATCTTAAATAGTGAAGTTCGGTTATTTTAATTCGAATTCACGTACTGAGGGGCAAATTAGTTCTAACAACCCGAAATTTCATTTTATAAATCCAGTATTAAGAAATCCCAAAGTAGTTTTTTTCACCCCATTAAAAATTTTTGCGGTCAATCGGTGTTTGAATAAAATAATTTTGTTCCATTTTAAAATTAATTCTACACCGAAGAAATGAATTTCATTCGAAAATTCCAAAGTTTTCGGGTACTTCGCGTATCAAGATTTAAATCGAGAATTTTAATCGAGTGAGACCAGGAGAATTCAAAAGGGAATTTTGAACAAGTGTTCATCCATATAGCTTTTGGGAAAAGTCACTTTCAACCCCAAATTAATAAAGAAATAACATTTCTAGCCTATGGTTCATGTTACATGGTGGACCAAAAGACATCCAAAAATCCCTTATAAAATCATCTTTTAGCTTGGGAAATTACCCATTTTCCCTCAACCAATCATTGTGAATCATCCTAGGATTTTGAACCCTATATAAACCCCTTCATTTCATCTCATTTTCCTGATCTCATTCTTTGCCTCTTCCTCATTTTCTTGGCTGCCAACAACAAGAAGAAAGACAACAACCTAGTAAGCTTGTTCATCCTTCATTCTAGCATCTTTTCTCTTCTAGTTTTCTTTAGTCTTTGAGGTTCTAGGCTAAGGTAGAAGGTGTGTTGGGAAGTGTAGGTGGTGAAGGAGGCTCAAGCTAGGCCAAGAGGAAGAAGAGATCCAAGCAAGAAGACTAGGCTACAAGAGGTATAACCCCATGGATTCCTCTTTAGATTTGGCTCTGTGAAGCCTAGTTTTGAGTAGAAATGAGTAGAAACTATGAGCTTTTGATGTGTTTTTGCTTAGAAGTGATCTATTGATCTGATCATAGGAGTTTTTCTTTTTCCAGATCTCAAAAAAAAACCCTTTGGTACCGGTGAAATAGGATTGTTTCTGCATCACATAGTAAGATACATCATATGGTTTTGGCTACATTAACATTCCTTTGGTTTCTAAAACAGCCAAGAATGCCCTGTGCTTGCATGAAACCGAAAACACATGTCATCATCTGATACTCTGATAGAAATATTTTTGTAATAAAGTTTTGATGAGCCAAATGTACTTTAGATCCCCTTAGAATTTAGGTCTTTAGTACAAGCATCATAATTCAGAATATCAAGTCAGTATGCAAAGGAAAATCTACTACATGAAGAACAAAATTAATTGAGAGAATTAATTTTGGTCCTACAAGTATTCATCCGGAACTGAAGTACTAAACAATGGCATTGCAAAGAAAGACCGGATGAGCTTAATGGTGAAATGGTAGAAGTCCTTACATATAATGATGATCACACCTGAGATTGATTCCCTCCTAAGGACTTATTTTTTATAAGCCGGATTTCAGAAAGAAGCACAATGTTTCAAGAAGAAGCACAATCCCTCAAGTCAAAGAAGCACAATGTGCTAAAGTCAAAGAAGCAAGATGCGAAAAGAAGCGGCAAGTCAAAGAAGCAAGAAGTGCCAAGTCAAACAAAGCAAGATCTGTTTTTAAGCACAATGCGTCTCAAAAGAAGCAAGATGTGACAAAGAAGCAAGATGATCAGAAATTATATAAATTCGAAAGAATTTATGGTGAGACATCTCACATGTCACAAAAATCCAAATTGCCTGAAGATATGATCAGAACGGTGGAAAATTTATGAAGGCATGGATAAAAATCTTATCCTAAGATATAAATTCTATCAGAAAAACTTATTGCAAAGAGACGTTGGAACTTCAAAATTGACAAGGAAAATAATATTTTAAAAACAACTTGAAAATCAAGTTGAAATAAAAATATTATCTTGTCAGGCAAGTTGACAATCAAATCAAATTGAAGACCTACCATTGTCAACAATATCAGGCTACAAGATTCAAATTTCAAATATCAAATTATCCCACTCCAACGGATATATTTGGTTATCTATAAAAAGGCCATGAAGACTTGAAGAAACATAGGATGAAAAAGAGGTGAATACAAAAAATACAAGAGAACACATGGGTGAACAAGTGCAAGTGCTAAATATTCATTGAAATATCTAGAAGAGAGACTTAGTCTGAATAGTCTCAAATTTAGTTGGAGAGAGATACAATTACCTTTGTATTTGTAATTGTAAAAAGAGTATAGCTGTGTGCAAAATACTCTAGTGAGTGTAGCTGTGTGCAAAATACTGTAGTGAGTGTAGCTGTGTGCAAAACACTCGAAGTTGCTAAGTGTAGCTGTGTGCAAGATACTTAGTTGGCGTTGAGTATAGCTGTGTGCGAAATACTCGTTGTTGAGTGTAGCTGTGTGCGAGACACTCGGAGTTGGGTGTAGCTGTGTGCAAGACATCTGGAAGAAGTGCTTGTGTAGCGCTTATTCACTATTGTAACTGTGTGTGGAAAATAGTGAATTACTCCTAGAAGTGAATGGAGTAAAGTGGACTAGGAAGATTACGCCACTTCCGAACCATTATAAATTGCCTCTCTCATTTACATACCGCACTTACATAATTCGCTTTATTTATTTATCATCCGACTAACCCGTTTACTATTCACTGCTTATCTTAATCTTTCAGGTTTAAAGTGTTTTCACGTATGCATGTAACTCAAACTTTCCATGCTTAATATTTGATTTATTCTAAACAAGTTTGACGTGTTGCATGTGACATTCATCATACGGTTGACGTGACACGAAATCTTATTTATAGTCTTGAATATTATTGTTAAATATTGAGTGCACCATCTCCTTTTAAATATTCAAGATATTCATGTCATCCCTACACATCATCTGAGCTTATCCTACACGTGCATGTGATTCAAATTATTGATTGGGCATAACTCTTTACACATATTTATTCCGCTGTGCATTTCAATTTAATTACTTCTCTATTTACTTGTTACTTAGAGTTGAAGTTACCAAAGAGTTATTTAATTTTGAAAAAACTTAGAAAGTCTATTCACCCCCCCCCCCTCTAGACTTTCTACCACCCTATCGTGACCAACAATTGGTATCAGAGCGGTTGTCTATCTAAGTCAATTTGACTGCTAGACAGATCTCGAAAAATCAAGATGATGAAAAGAGATATGGGTCTTGCCCAAAATCTATTATTTTCTCTAGATAAATTTGATGATTGGAAAATTCGCATGCAGGTACACTTATCCGCATTACACGATGAAATGTGGAAAGTCATCACTAGTGGTCCCATTGAAATTTTGCAAGTCAACACTTCATCCATACAAACAAGCGAAACTCAACAATACATTCCAAAACCGAAT